CCAACAATCATGCAACGTTCAAAGTCACTCAAAACACCTTTCTTGCCCATACTGATGCTCGCTTTGAACTGCAGGAGATTGTCTTGACCATGTCTACATGCCTAAATGCACTGAGTTGCCGCCATGTGATTGGCTGCTTAGACATTAAGTGTTAACGAGCAGTTGGACAGCTGTACCTAATAAAGTGGCCGGTGAGTGTAGACTAGTAGCATGTTTAAACGCCATGTTCCGTGAAATACTCAAAGGCTGTTCTTGGCCGCTGCCTTAAGGCGCCACTATGTTGGAATTCTAGGAACTTTCCAATTTTTTATTGATATAGTTCAGTTTAGAGGTTTGGTGAAATTTAAATGTAATGTTTGGGTTACTAACGTACTGATAAGGGTCTCATTGGGTTAGGCATAAATGCAGTAAATGAATGATAGTCAATGTAAAGTCTAGTTACAGTAGCAGCCATGCAAAATTTCCCTACTTTCCTTGATGGGCCCTTGGCTGGTTCCCTTTGATTCCTTTTTTAACTTCAATCTTTGTACTAAAATATTCTTTCTGAGAAGCGCCATCTCCTGGTCAGACCCTGTTGTTCAGTGATAGGGGGGAGTCAGAGTAAAAAATATGCAAACCCAGGATAAGGTGGGGTCACCCCAGTGGCTAGAGTTTTTTTATTATTATTATTATTATTATTATTATTATTATTATTATTATTATTATTATTATTATTATTATTATTATTATTTAACCTTTATTTTACCAGGAAGTCTCTTGAGATAAAATCTCTTTTTCGAGGGAAACCTGGAGTTGGAGGGAATTGTGCCGCCATTCGGCTAGTGTTTGATTGGGAGCGGCCATTTTGAATGGCCGCTACTGTATGAGTACAAAAAATGTATGGGGGGTAAAATGGTATTGTTTAGTCACAAGGGGGGCAGGATGTTTTTTTTATTGCAGGGGCTAATCCAGAAACATCCCACTGAGCAAATATTGGTTGATAAAACAACATGGGTCCAAACAACGTCTACATGAAAAGCTGTAATTTTCAGATTGTTAAAAATACATTGAAAACTGATTTTTTTTTCCCAGCATCTTTTCAACATCTATTATTGGACTAATGTGGACAAAATCAGACCAACCAAATACAAATACATTTTTAACATCCATTTCTGGACTAAATCCAGACTATCAATGACCATCTAATCCTAACCCATCAGATTTAATCTGGTGTATTATTTGTTAGAAAAGTCTTCTCTGGTTTTTAAATGTTAATCAATAAGCCTTGATGTTTTTGTTTTTTTAAGTCATTTAAAAATAAAGCTGCCATACTTTTAGCTTTAGCCGTATTGAGATAAAATCAGAGTTTTCATCTGCATCCTGCAGAGACTTTGGCTCATCTTCAACCATTAACTGTTGCACTGTTTTGTTTTTTATTCATTTACCTTCTGTCCTCATGAAAACTCCTCAGCCCAACTCTGCCCACCTTAAAATGTTTGATCTAGAAGTGCCATTGACACTGAAACAAATAAAAATCGACAAATTCTCTGCATACCTGTATATTTTTATCTGACCCCATTGTTGTCATTTTTTTAGCTTCATTCCTTCTGATTCTAGCTTGTTTTCATGATGCTGTTTGTTCTCGATGTTCTCTAACAAACCTGTAAACCAAAAACCTAGATCCAATCAAACAGATCATCCATGCAGTGTCGTAATACTAGTTGTACTTGTCAGCATGGAGTCACTGTTTATAAAAACATGCAAACGGCTCTGATTCAGATTTTTCATTTTGCTCAGTGTTTCCTTTCGTCTTTTTATTTCCTAAAGCTCAGATATTTAAGCTTTTAGTTTGTTTTTCTTGTTGTTTTTGTTGCTTAGATAAGAATGCAAGATGGCCGCCCCTGCTGTCATCGGCCTCCTCTCTCAGAGACCATGCAGCATTCTTCCAGTCGGAAGCAATGCGTCCAGCCAATGACCCCAAAGAGCGGGACCCCTCCCACGTACGGATGCTGAATGATGTGCTGCGCGATCTGGAAAAGAGCTTCATCGTCCCACAGACGCCGCCTGGAGTGTACAGGTAAAGGAGGCGGGCAGTAGGTTGATTTATCTACTGTAGAGCAGTTTGCTCCCAGCCCTGCAGCACATTGGCTGCTTCTACATCTGCAGAGATCAATGAAACATTGAGCAGCAACATTATTAGTATGAAAACATTGATGGGATTGGATGCGATCTGAAATCTCCGGTTCTTCTGCTAAATGTAAGATATTGTGCTTTAGTTAAAAATGTATTTATGCTCAGAGGATTCCTACAGGGATGGAATGAATGGCCATAAATGTCTTTAAATTAAGCAAACTTGCAAGCAACTGCTTCTCCACAAGTTTTTTTTCTGCCACTTCGGTTCATTACCTTTGGCTTTCAGCTGCAGAAGAGTCACTTAGCAGCACAGCAGTTGGAGCTGAAACACATTTGAATGTAATTTTTTCTCTTTCTTCCTGCCTGACCTAAAGGACAAACAGGACAGCAAACAGAACTAAACCAAAGTTGAACGAGGAACAATCTGTTATGTTAAAAAGAATAAACTAAATACATTTTAAATGTGGTGAAGTGATAGTGATCAGTAACCAAAATCAAATCTATATATAGTTTCTAACTGACCGTGGGACGTCTGATACAAACATGACTGCATGGTTTTATTTTCCTCTCCAAAGTTAATCATTTTATAGGACATTTTAATAATCAGTGATTATATGTTGGTTTGTCAACAGAAATAATATTCAACAGACTTTGAGACAATTCCCATCGGAATTTTACGAGATGTTTTGTTTACTGGAGAGTTAATTGCCTAAGCTTTAAATCGTCTTGCATTACAATACTTCTAATAATTTCTGTCATGTTTGTTTTAAGGTTTCTAACCCACATGCAGAACACGGACTCTGGGAAAAAGTTCAACAGTTTATTGTTTGACACAATGAGAATAAAGCACTGATTCTGGGGGTTATCAGGTCCAGGACTGGTCACGACTGGTTTCTCTGCAGAGGGGGACAGAATGGTTAGCAGATGTCCAGGTATCTTTGCTGGTAGAATGAGTGTAGGTCTGTACCTGTTCTAAGGTTTGAGCAGAGCGGCAGAGGGGGGGGAACCAGGAGGGTCCAGAGGCAGTCGGCAGGCAGAGGCAGAGCTTGGTTTGTGATCTTGCAGATTCGGATCTGTGTTTCTCTTTCAGTTTCTTCTGAGAGTGGGCAGGCAGGTATCTGACAGATTTGACTTCCAGAGTTCTTCAGAGATCAGACAGGCTGGTTTCAGACTGAGAAACTCTTCCAGAGTTTCAGGGTTCAGACAGGTTCTTCCATAACTGGCAAACACTCTGGCGCTGGAGTGTTGCTCTGCCTCTCCTTAAATGCCGGTCTCCTGATGAGCAAACGAGCCGCAGGTGTGAAGTCAGCTCTAGCTCCAGGAGACCTAGAACGCCCTCTGTAGGAGGAAGGTGGACAGACCTCCAGATCCCAACAATTTCTTATTACTGATGATCTGGTTAGAATTAAAACTTAACATTTACAGAAAAAGATCAATCAGATCATCCAGTCCGATTAAAGCTTTAATGGTTTCTGTCTGAAGGAAACCAGCTGATTGCATCCAGTCATCGACTTTGCGGGATTCGTTCCTGCAGGATGAGCCGGTGGAGACAGTGACCGCAGCAATCCCTCACATTAAATCATGCGGCGACAGTGGAGAGGAAATAAAGTAAAACAAAAAACAGATGCGTCTGCTAGGTTTGCATAGCAAAATTTCCCACACCCCTCCGCGGGTCGTTTGTACGGCCTAAATATTTTCCTAGAAAATTCAAAACTTCGTGGACAGAGAAACATGCTGGATGAAAATTACCTCCTTCTGGTAAGTGGTCATAAAAATAAATATCTAGAAAAAAGCCCTAATTTTATTTCTCTCTTGGATAACACCTTGAAAATATTGGAAACATCTTTGTTTTCTCCTTCTCCATCTTTTGCAGAGTTGTAAGCTCTTGGTTTGTACCAGAATATTAGATAAAAGCTGCACGGAGTATTAAAGCTGCAGACGTTGTACAGCTGCAGAATGTACACGCCTTAAACGCCATTTGGTTAGTTGTTATAAAACACAACTTTTTTGAAAGGTCCTACAGGCTGCATCACCTCTGAACAAGAGGTAAAAAAAACATGAAAACCAAGAAGCTCTTCAAATGAGAGCCAGACATCATATTCAAACTAAAAGCACAACAAACCTGCCGATAGAGAACCGCTCAGCAGAACTGAAAGACCCAGAAAGGTGGACATTAACCCGCTGTGCTGCACAGAGACCAACAGTAATGCTGAGATAGTGAAGAGACTGCAGTGTCTGTCTGCATGACCACAGTGAGCTTAACACAATATAGAACTAAGCTTTATAGAAAAGACACCTTAGAAAATCTAACGATTTATGCTCAGAAATAGGATGTTCTGTGATGAATTTCCCAAAAAGCCTGTGAGCGACTCCTTAGATGTGCGAATAAGGATGCCACTAAACCTACTAAGAAGAAAGCCCAGCAATCCCATCAAACCAGCATCACCGGAAAAGTGAAAGTAATCTGAGGCCTAGCAAGAGATTGATGAGTTTTAAGATGCTGTGGCTGTATTTTTTGGCTGGCTTTGTCTAAACAATATAATACATCTTTAAAGTTGTAGAAATTTTCTGTTTTAATTCCAGGTTTTAAGGCAACAAACCTTAAAAAATGCCAATGGGGATTAAATGCTCTTCCAGGCAGCTGAATATGTATTTATACATGAAGATTTGCATTTAAAAAAAACATGGCTTCTTGTGTTCAGTAAACTGCACCAATAATTAGCGTCTCTTAGACAGTAACGTGCTGCTATCCTGGATTTAGAAGCAGGTGAAGGATGTCAGAGTTCAAAGTTCCTGCTCTCTCCTATTATTATTTGGCTGATGTTTCTGTGAAGGAACTTTCTAATTGAAAGCCAAAAATAAATTAAGCAATAAATCATAATTCAGGCACGTTCAAGCCGACACTTCACATGCAGAGTTAAATTAAAAAAAAGTGTAACTCAGGTAAATAATATCTGTCTGTATTGTAAAGGTAGACGATCAATCCAGGGAAAATTCTGCTGCACTGAGAATAATACGAGGGTTTGGTTGGTGGCAGGGGTTCAGGGACATGAAAGAAAATAGACTCAGGGTGGAGATAAGTGTCATGGGGAAAAAAAGTATTCAACTATTAGGGTTGTCAAAAGTATCGATACTGAGACGTTGTATCCGGATACAATACTTGTTTTTAAAGGTATCGATACAGTGCTACCACCAGTGGCACCTAAGCAGTCATTCATCTAAAGAGCAGATTAGAGGACAATGCACTTTCAGAACACTGTGTGATTGAATAATTCTACGCACTTTTCAGTTTCAGACTGCTTTTTGTAAGAGGTGTCATTGTTATGTGTGCAAAGCATAGCCAAGGAAGGAACACTTCATTTTAGTTTTGTAAGTTTTTATCAAGCTTGTTTAATATTGTGCACAGCAAACAACCTCAAAATATTGTTCTTATTGTTTATTGTATTTATTTATTAATGAAAATATTTCTGTTGAATTTTAGAGTCTTTGTTTTTATTCTTGTGGGATCGAAAATGGTATAGAGTATCGAATATTTTCCTTAGTATCGGTATCGAGTTGAAAAGTTTAGTATCGTGACAACCCTATCAACTATAAATTCCAGGTAATAAACCAAGATTGATGGATTTCACTCAGTCGGCCATTTGTTTTTACCTTTGCAAAGAGAGAGCAGTTCATCATACGGCCCTTATTGCTTGGTAATCAGCCCTGGGCAGCGTTCCTTCCTGCTTACTGAGAATAATGAAAATAAGTCCAAACAAATTATACTTTGGAAAGAATCTGAACCTTGAGAAAGAATCTGATTTGAGCTGAATCCAGTTAACGTCCTGGGAGAAGAAGTTAAGGTGGTAGAGGAGTACAAATACCTCGGTGTTCACCTGGACAACAATGTAGACTGGAGACCAGACTATACGTCTGTAAGAAGGGACAGATCAGACTGGACTTCTAGACGAAGCTTAGGTTTGTCAAAGATCTCTTCCGCCATCATCTGCTGGAGTAAAAGCATCAGATAAATTACTTAAAGAAGCTTTACAAGCTAATAAAGAAAGGCAGCTCTGTTCTAGGAACTCCTCTAGAACCTCTGGAGATGATTTAAAAAGAAGAATTATGGAAAACAGTGAGCGTCTTCTTCAGACGATTGTTAAACAACAACAAAATGTCTTCAGTAAAGACTTCCAGAGGCAGGACAGACTCTCTGATGCCTTCAACATCTGGAACGGCTTGTTGACAAACTGCTGAGGTAATTTCCCTTTGAGATTGATAAAGTATTTTGGATTTAAATCAAATTTGAATAGTTTAAATAGTTGGCAGTGTTTTGAGGGTCCAGGATAATTGGGATGCAGAGTGATCTAAATATATGTGAATTTTCTAAATTATGACCAGGATTCATTTCTACCCAATTTAAAAACAAGTAAATCCAATTTATCTGCTGTTAAATTTAATTTGATTCAACCCAACTGTTTTCCCTAAACGTGCATCAAGGCGGTTTAAGAGGATAACTGCTTAACGTGTTTGGGGTTCTATATGATGCTCGAGGTATAAGGTGAAAAGTCACAATTGAGAAAGGTCATCATTTATAGTAAGAATGGCTTAATCATGTCATTGTGTGTATGTTCTATTTAAAGGTTTCCGATAAATCAATAAGCTGCTTTTAAAGAACAGAGGAAATTCTGACTGCGCTCCATGCGGCACATTAAATGCTGTAAACAGAGATAAAGTCTTACTTCATACATCTCAATCTTAGCGCTCTCTTTTGAGAGACTCATTTATTAAATGCCAAAATAAAAGAGTGTGAAATGGTCACATGGTGTGTCATATATCCCCTGGAGTTATTTAAATTCATGACTTCATTTCAAAAGGTCTTCCAGTCGCCTGCCATCAAAGAGATAATTAAAGGGGCCCTTATTAAATGTCAGCTGTTTAGCATGCAAAACTCTTTATTGTCAG